AAACACATGCACCTGCATACACACATATTTACAAACATGCATACGTCATACGTACTTTCATGCATACGAGCATATGTGCAAACAGTTGACAGGGTTACATGCACACGCAGGTACCTCTCTTTATGTCTTTACTTGCATACTGACATACATACTCACTCACTTAATTAGTTAAATATTAACCGAATGTGTGTTTAATGAGCTACTTACTGACTCGCTGACTCACTTCTCTGCTTGCTTCAGCAAACCAAGAAGATAATTAGGTACTTAGCGCCTTACTTCACGGAGGGGACCCCCCTGTTTTGCGCTTTGCCGAATGGGTGTGTTGCGGAGCCATGGGAGGCCAATGGGGCCCAATGGGGCAATGGGTTTCCCCAGTTGCCCCCAATTAGTCACCATTGGGCCGCAAACGAAGTGCAACCCACAGGGGTCCGTCCCCTCCGCGCAGGGGCCGCTTATCAACCCTGTGATCAATCAGTTACAGACTAACTGACTGACAGACTTGCTTGTACGATGTTTTTGGAGATGGTGCAGCAGAGATAAGGAGCAAACATAGACAGATGGAGACATAGACGACAAGACAGGTGCATGTGAGTTAACGAAAACAAATAAATCGACGCATAAACAAACACACATGTAATTACGTAAATGTGTGGATGTATACACTAAAACCCCTAGACCCTAAACCGTAAACCCAAGTCACTAAAATGTAAACGGATAAACAGGCAGTCGGACGGGTCAGTAGCCTGTGAGTGCACACGAACAGACACGCATACCTACATACCTACTACCTACCTACCTACATGCATATATACATACATCCACACCTACATACATACCTATCTCCCTACCTACATGCATATGTAAATAATGCAATTGGTTTGACTTGCAGATGCGTCGCCCGCCGTCGGCGCCCCCGTGGCTGCTGTGCACAGCCATGGGCCTTGGAAAAGCAGGCTGACATAGGCTACTATTTGCTTAAGAACCCCCAAAAAATAAAACATATATTCCTTATGGTGGTAATATAGGGATTATTATTTTTTTGGGGTGGTTTCTTAAGCAAATAGTAGTAGGGGCTGAGTACCCTCCTTAAAGGATGATGGGACTTAGTAACGAGGGTTATAATTAGGGTAACTATACTTATAACCCCATAACCTTACTTACTAAGTCCCATGAACCTCCAAGTAGCTAAAGAAATGCTAACCTTTTCACTTATGACAGGATTGTACACACCCCAAAATGTCACAGGTTACCTCATCAGCAACTTAGCTGGTCTGAAAGTACGATTAGACTTGGTTGGGATTTGCTGCGTGCAGGGTGCAGCTAGGTTCCGGATCCTTCCAAAGATTTTCTTGCAATGACGGTTGGGCATGCATCGGTTTCCATGCAAAGGAGCAGGATGCTTGGAGTTGGAACTTGTATGACCAATAGTGGAAACTTGTGGCCAGGACGAACTTGGACGTGCCCACAAAGTTTAAATTTGGTACGGTATTGGAGAACTGAACAGCAAGTCTCGCAAAGCAGATCTCCAAGTCCTGAGACTAATCGGAGCTCGCTGTTGCCTGTAGTGATGCCGTGCAATAGCAGCAATCGTCGCAGAGCCCGACATCATCGGTAAGGTACGCGGCTGCGAAGGCTGACCGCTCGAAACATCAGCTTCTGGCAGAAAGAAGGAAAGTATTGCAAGTACGAAAAGCCAATGCTACCTCACCAGCATGTGTTGCTCATAACCACTTGGGTTTATCATTTATCGAAAACCTATGAGCCCTGAACTCCAAACTCGAAACCATGAACCCTAAATCCCACATTGACTTGCAGTGGCGCGGCCCGCTTTCATCATGGGAGGGCTTGGAATCCTCCGCGTCCTCAGACTGGTCTGCTTCGGCCTCGGAGTAGCAAAGCTCCCCAGAAAGAAAAAAACGAAAGAGGGGCCTTATTCGTTGCTGCAGGAGAGATATGTAGGAAATGCTTGTGGGGCGGCACTATGAATTCTTCCGACTAGGTTACATCGACACACTGCGAGGGTTTCAGGGTTTGGGATTGCCGGGTTTAGGTTCAGGTATGTTGAGGTAGATTTTGGTCCTATACCTAGACCCTCCTTCTGCCCTCTATTAGACCCTAAATACCCACTATCCGGGACCAGATACCCCTACGAGGGTACAAGGAGGGTCCTGGTATGCGTTCATACCCGGGGGCTCCTGCCACTATTGAACCGTCAGGTCTCCCCAAAACCGAACTCGGGTGCTCCTTTGGGAGCGAATTCCATAATGGTGCGTAGTAGATATTACCCCAAAGGTCCGAAGGACCCAATAATTAGGTGCTCGGTTTTAGGATCGTAGTTATGCAGGTTAGGATTGTGGAGAGTATATGATTGTTAGGTACTTGGACCCTTGGGGTTAGTAGATTTATGGAACCTCTGGGATATAGAGTAACTATGGAGAGTCGTATGGGGAGGCTGTATTCCGCTCTCCCAAAGAGTACGGCTCGCTTGTAATTAACCGCATAAGGCCCTGAATTATAGCGCTGCCCTTCCAGTTATGATTCTATGCCTATCTGTATGTATATCTACATTGTACTTGTATTGTACTTGTACTTGCTTTTTTGTACGGTTGTTGGGATAATTATACATTTTCGTTCTTTAGAGAGAGAGAAAGAGAGAGAGAGAGAGAGAGAGAGAGAGAGAGAGAGAGAGAGAGAGAGAGAGAGACAGACAGAGAGACAGAGAGACAGAGGGAAAGAGAGACAAAGATCGCGACCCGTATGCATGAGCGGCCGGCTCGCCACGTTGGTGTTTCTGAGTTGAGGATTATCTCTGAAACCGTCGCCTTCAAGTGATCCTTAACCCCCAGCGGATGACAGCAACAGTGTCCGCATCTGAGTGGAAGGCCTCAGCTGTCGCATCATATACGAATCTACTTCTCCTAGCTGCTAGCCGATCGTCTGGACACGTGGCGTCCTCTTCGGCTGAGCCCGTAGAGCTTTAGGCGCGATAAAAAGCCCAGATCCTAGGTTTTTGCAGGCATTTTGTAAGGGTTCTGTTATATAAAGGCTCCCGAAAGGTCCAAAAAAGGCTTTACCAGGGGAGAAAGACATTGCGTTTGGTTTCTATTTAGGGTTTGGAAGGGTGTCCATAGGGGCGTTTCCGAAAATAGGGGACCCTAATATAGTACCCTGAATAGTAGGGTCCTTATTATAAGGATCCCCAATATGGTACCCCCAAAAGGGCTCTACAACTCTGAAGTGGGGATCCGAAAGGATTCAGGGCTCTTGCTTGGTATTGTACCCAAAGGGTCCTAGGTACTGTTGAAGGGGGTACTTCCCCAAATCATCAAGCTAATGCAACTGCATTCTACAATATAGGCTCTCCCTTCTCCTCCAAATAGCCCAAAATGGGCTGTGTTTTGACTTTAGACCCCAAAGTCCTAGGGCCCAAAGTAGGACCCAAAGTCCTTTAGACCCCAAAGTAAGTACATCTTTGTATACTTGGAGGCAAGGGGTCTTGCTTGGTATTTTAGAAGGGCTTTACCTGGACCCCGAAAGTATGTAGAATAGTAGCCTTTTTTTTTATAGGTTTTGGGTTGTTATTTTACCTACCTTCGCCGGTTCATGTAGGGCGATTTTACCATCATAGTCGGAAAGTTTTGGCTCCATAGCAGGTAAGCCCAACAAACGTTGTCGTAACACCCGAAAACCTAGCCTTCTAGGGCTGCTCCATCTTATGATTTCTTTGTACAAGTTCTTAAACATGTATGTCTTACGGGGGTTTGAGGTAACCCTAAGGGTCCATGTACCCAAGTAGCCTGTAACAATACTTTGGCCTGAAAGTACTCCCTATATCGGTGCACTGGGACCAAAGTATATACTGTTTGGGTACACGGACACATCGCCGGCAACCGCCATAAGGATTGCCTGCCTCAGAGGCCGACTCCGATCCGGGCGGCCGTTCGCCAGTGCAGTCAGGCTGGCAGTTATAGCATCCCAGATGGGTTTCCCAGACCTTCCAAAACTCCTTAATTAAGGAATATACCTTAAATTATAGTAGGACCCTTAATATGATTTAAGGTACATTCCTTAATTAAGGAGTTTTGGAAGGTCTGGGTTCCAACTGGAGCCAGTAGTCGCCTCTTTTGGAAGGCATGCAAGCAGTAGCTCGGAATTTGTCACGGCCTTGTCACTGATGACACATCTCATGCTCACCACCAGCATGCTGTCCCTATACTAACCCAAACCCCCTTATAGAGCCCTTATAGATCCTTTTTTAGGAACCCTTTAAGGAACCCAGTTACTGTTTCTGAAAAGCTAGCAGCTAGCATGGTCTTCCTGCAGCAACAGCGGTATCGGGAGCTCATTCTGCACATCAAAACTCGTCCAAAAGGTCGCCGCCTTCTTCAGCTGAGGGGTCTTCTTGAAACCTTGCTCTGACCAATACTTCCCACTATGGGTTATTAGACCTTATGGGTACCTTAATCTATCCTTAATAAGGTCCTAATAGGGATCTTTAGGGTCTGATAGCCCATAGTGGTCTTCAAATCTGCAACATTGGCCGTAGTGCTTTCCAGCACTGTCCAGGCACTGAACCAAAGGTGGGGCAACCTCGGGCATATGGAGATGTCGACCAAAACCAAACCCTTTAAAGGAACCCTTAAAGAATCAAAAGAATACCCTGTAGGAACACCAAAAAAACCCTTAACGGACACCCTCAAGGAAACTGTTACAGGAAACCCTTAAAGGAACCCTTAAGGAACCCTTAAAGGAACCCTTAAAGGTAACTTTAGGAGGGAGATATGGGAGTTTCTGAAAATAGGGGACCCTAATATACTACCCTGAATAGTAGGATCCTTATTCTAAGAACCCCAATATAAGGTATCCCCTATTTTCGGAAACTCTAAACCCTAAACCCTTTATAGAACCCTTATAGATCCCTTTAAGGAACCCTTAGAGGATCCCTTTAAAGGTAACCCTATTGTCGGAACCTCCCACAACCCTCAAACCAAGGCCAGAGCTTTCATCGTCTCTGCTGCTGTATGAACTGCTCCGCCGTCCTGGTGCTTGGGGGTTTAGGGGTTTAGGGGTCAGGGGTTTAGGGTTTAGGGGTTCAGGGGTTTAGGGTTTTAGGTTTAGGGGTTTAGGGTTTGGGGGTTGATGAGTGTCGGGTTTAGGGCTTATAGGGTATAGGGCTTATAGGGTCTGTAGGGTTTATAGGGTTTAGTAGGGCTTACAGGGTTTGTAGGGCTTTTGGGGCTGATAAGGTTTAGGGCTTCTAGGGTTTAGGATTTTGGGGTTTAGGATGAAAGGGCTTATGTAAGGGCCTATAAGGTTTAGTGGTTTAGGGCTTGTCGGGTTTAGGGGTTTGACATTTGGGTGGAGCTGTTACCCGGTTGCGAAAGGGTTTCCAGTGTATCGATGCTTGTCTAGTATGGTGGACCCTTGGGGTCCTTAACAAAACCTCTAAACCCTCAACCCTTTCTGAACCCTACACCCTAAACCCTTTATAAACCCTAAACCCTTTATAAACCAGATCCTGCCTAGCATCTCGCAAATGAGACGCGGAACCCGTACATGAAAAATGACATAAACACTCAACCCTGACTCCCCTAAACCCTAAGACCGCTGTGAGCGCTATACCCCTAAACCTTCAACCCTTCAATCCCTATAAACCCTATCTCTCTCTATATATATGTATGTATGTATGTATGTATGTGTATATATATATATATATGCATATGTCACATATCCCCAGTACGGCTGCTTGGTTTTCTTGGTTCGATATTAACAAGCACTCATATTGATAAGCCCTAAACCCTAAACCCTGGTTTAAACCCTAGAAACCCTAAACCCAAAGATAAGCGCGCAGCGAGCCTCTGACGGAGACGTCTCATCGCTCCCCATTTTCTTGGGCTCTTCATCGGCCTGCGAATGCAGCCGAGGGGTTCCTTCAAGGGGCCTTTAAGGGCTTCTTCAAGGGAATTTTAAAGGGTTCCTTCAAGGGCCCTTCAAGGGCTTCTTTGAGGGACCCTTAGCCGGGTTGGGTTTAGGGTTTAGGAAATCCTTAACTGAGCTTCGGTGCTAGACGTCTTCAGGGCAGTTTGCAAGCCCAGGGTCCTGGATTTCGGCTTCAGGCTGCCCGGTTTTTGTTGAGTCAGTCTATCCCGGGCATAAATAAGTCAACTTCCCGAATGTCCCCCAAGGGTCCAAGTACATAATGATCATATGCTCTCCAAATCCTCACCAACATAAGAACTATCCTAAAACCGAGCACCTGATTATTGGGTCCTTGGACCCTTGGGGGTCTGCTGAAAGACATTAAGGTTGACTGATTCACTGCCTTTGTTTAAATCTGCTATCGTGCGGTTTCATTCGGTGCCATGGGTTGCGTAGTTGAAACATCCCTAGCACAAGTTTGCAAGTTTGCCCTAATTAAGGGTTCACGTAATCCTTCTTTATCGTTTGTGGTGTACCAAGAGCCCCCAGAGACCCCTAAACCCGAGCCCTAAACCTAAACCTCGAAACCCCGTACACCCCGAGCCCTAAACCCTAAACCCCAGACCCTTAAACCCCTAAACCCCTAAACCCTGAACCCTAAACCCTGCCTCCGAAGTCACATTCACGAGGTCGCTCTCCAGGACCTGCAGGCGGAGTGCACTTCTCCGAATCCCCGCAACCTGGATTTAATATGGGGGCCCTATTAATAAAAATCGAATTCCCAAAAGGGCCCCTTAACGGGTTCTATAAGGTATATAGTATGGGGGCCTAAGTAATTAGAATAGGGTTTCGGTGTGTATATTATAGTGTAATTATAGTAGTGGTAATCACATAAGCCCCTATACTAGGGCCTCAGACCTTGCAAAACCCCTTGTAAAAATCCAGGAATAGACCTTCAATCACATGATAGGGATCCTACGATAATTTAGGGTATCTTCGCTAATTCCTTAAAGAACCCCTGTAGACCCATTTATGGCACAGAAGGGATCCTGCGATGATTGATGGTATATTCCCTAAGTCCTTATGGAACCCCTGTAGACCAATTTATGGCACATTAGGGATCCTACTATAATTTAAGGTATATTCCCTAATTCCTTATTAGAACCCCTGTAGAGCCATTGAAGGAACCCTTGAAGGAACCATAAGGCCTTAACCCCAAGGGTCCAAGTACCTAATAATCATATAATCTCCAAAATCCTAACCTACATAACTACCATCCTCAAACCGAGCACCTAATTATTGGGTCCTTTGGACCCTTGGGGTAACGTATATTCCTGGAAGATCTGGAGCTTTAGTAAGGGGCTTAAGGCTTTAAAGGCTTTAATTAAGGGGTTTAGGGCTTTAGGGTTTTAAGACTTTAAGACTTTAGGGTTCAGGGCTTTAAGGCTTTAGAGGTTTGGGGGTGTAGGGCTTCAGTGGTTGTAAGAGGCTTCGGGTTTGGGGACGTGCCACTATGGGTTATTAGACCTTATGGGTACCTTAATCTACCCTTAATAAGGTCCTAATAGGGGTCTTTAGGGTCTGATAGCCCATAGTGGTAGGATGTGGGGTTTAGGGGCTTGGGGTTGAGGGTTTAGGATGCAGCCACCAGGAGCTCCAGCACGGCTCAACCCCATTCGTCTAGAGTTTACCTTAACCCTGAAGAACCTACCTTTCTAGGGTTCCCTACTATGATTTCCTTGTATAAGTCCTCAAAAAGGTAGGTTCTTCAGGGTTAAGGTAGGTCCAATGGATGTACTGATTTCTGGATCATACGTAATGGCACCAGTCAGGAATTCGGCGGGCTGATCTGATGTGGACCGGAAGTTTCAGTGGCGTGTGCTGCCTCGGCCTAAGCTGAGGTGTTCTTTTGCCTATAGGGGCCTTGATAAGAATAGAACTACTTTTATGGGTCCCTCAAAAGGTTCTATAAGGGTTTCATTGTGGGGAGAAGCTTGGTGGCCGTGCCGCCGGCAGCTGGGTGCCATCCACTCGAGCTTTTAGCGAATGAGTCGCTTGAGGATCAAACGCACGCAGACATTGTCGAAGTCTACATTGGCCAAGCTTGCGTGCGCCGGTGTGCCTTTCCCCAGGGCGACTCGACGAACGTCGTGTGGGGTAGCTTGGCCTTGGGTGACAGTGGTTCATTCAGGCACGTTTCACTGGTTGCACAGCTCACCTTGCTGAGAGCCGAGAAGCACATCCTTCGGCTTCGTACTCCTTGAGCAAGTCTCTCCAAAAAGACATAGACATCGCATAGTATCCCGTCGTGCCGTGGCGACAGTCCGACCAAGTAGCAATGGCTTTGATCTGTACTATACTGAACTTAGAACCCAAGCACAAATTACAATTTTAGCAGTTTCTTATGGATTAAAATAACCAAAAATTAAAAATATCATTTCTAAGTACCCCTAAGTGTAATTCCGTACCTCCGAGAGGTACACTGTCCCAAGCTCCCAACCTCCGTCTTCCTTCATAGCCCTCTCCCCGGGTTCCGGTGTGTGCGTCATCTCAGCTGAGATGTATGGGCTTCGAAATTCAGCTTGGGTCTTACCTATAGTCTCCATTGTAGTTCCTTTTTGGGGTTACCCTTTAGGATCCGTAATATAGAATTGGTTAAACCAAAAAAAGAACTACAATGGAGACTATAGGTAGACCCTAAACCCTAAACCCCAGAGATCCCTTATAGAACCCTATAGTATAGATCCCTTTAAAGGAACCCTAAACCCTACCCCAAATAGGTCTGGAGGTCGGGATCTGGTCTCTGGCATCTGGGGTCACGGGGGCCTTAAGAACGAAATGAACCCTAAAAGGGTTTAAGGTTCATATACCATATAGGGTTCATAGTATATGTGTATAGGGCCCTTACTTTTAAGGGTGATTTGGTCCTTTGGGGTTTAGAGTGGAGTTTAGAGTCGATCGGCCGCAGCACTTAGGCCTCCGTAAGCCCGTGACTAAACTCTACGACACTAGCAGAACCCAAAATCTTTCTCCCACTTGATATTGACCCAAGCATGAAAAGCTACATGATATCCTGAAAGAGATGCCATTTCATCATACTGCCGAGAAGGTATGTGTTGTCGAACCCTTGCCACATGTAAATTCATATATTATCGAAGAACCGCATTGCACAACATGACAGAAACGCCAATGCTAGTCAAACAATCTACCGCTATTTGTGATTGCTGCTGCTACTACTGCCGCTGATACTACTACTACTACTACTACTACTACTACTACTACTACTACTACTACTACTACTACTACTACTACTACTGATACTACTACTACTACTACTACTACTACTACTACTACTACTACTACTACTACTACAACTACTACCACTGCTACGACTAATAGACTGACTACTGAAAGGAGCCCTTTAAAGGGAACCTTGAAGCCTTCAGATACCGCGAGTCCTGCCTCGGTCGTGGTGGCCTCGTCGTCATCCGCGCTGGAATCATGCGTGTCCCCGTCAACCTGTTGTGGTTTAGGGGGTTCCGTAAAGGGATCTTTAGGGTTCCTTACAGGGATCTATAGGGTTCCTTAAAGGGATCTATGGGGTTTAGGGTTTATAGGGTCTACTTGGTAGAGTCTACTTGGCGGCGCAGGCGACTTAGTATTTAGGGTTTATAGGGTCTACTTGGTAGAGTCTACTTGGCGGCGCAGGCGACTTAGTAAGTCGTTTATAAGTAGGGTTACAATTGGGGTAACTTCATTTAAGGTACTTATAACTCTACTTATAACCTACTTAGTAATCCCCTACCCCTACAAGTAAGGGATCCACAAGAGCAGCCCCGACAAGCAATGTGTTCTGTTGAAGGGCCGTTTTTCCTGCTAAATCCATGCTTCGTACGGCCCAATAAGTTAAGGGTTCAGGGATTGGGGCGTTAGGTATTTAGGGGTTCAGGGGTTTGAGGGCGTAGGGTTACTGTATATAGATGCCCAGAAGACTTAGTAAGTAGAGTTGTAAGTAGAGTTATAACTGGCCTAGGTGGAGTTACCCCAAATACAATCCCACCTATCACCGTTCACGGGTTTCAGGGCTTAGGGGTTTAGGGACTGGGGTTATTAGGGTTTGAGGTTTATGTTTAGGATTTCGAGTTTGCGTTTTCCTCCAGGACTTTCTGCCTCCATATTTTTGGACCGTATTGACAGGGTGTATTTGGAACTCTCGGCTTTTATAGGGTTTGCATACCTTCGATGCCCAGGCGCGGGATGGCCTAATACGGTCCCACAACCTTTTACAAGTAGGTCCTTCTATAGACGAGGAGTCAGTTTTAAGAAGCATCCACGAGCCACCCGTGTCTACGAAAACGGCAACTGGACCACGTACCTAAATAGGGAGTACTTTTGGTCCAAAGTAGGGTACATGGACCCTTAATCCCTTAACCCTAAACCCTCACCCTATAAAACCCTTAAAGGAGCCCTTACAGCTGTTGAATGGGCTTCTTTCTTGAGAGGCTGGGCTTTGTGCTCGCATGCATCCCCATTCGGAAGATCTTCGCGGGCTTCACAGTTTCTCATAGTTGCTGAGGTCATAAGCCCCCAAAAGTGCACACTTTCAGTTCTATAGTGGGTAATATGATCCCAAAAGTGTAACAGTGTAAAGTGTATCCACCATGCTACTAAGGTTTGGGGTTTGGTGTACATTGAGGCAGGACGGGGAGGACTACCGTAAACGGTTTTCGTACAGTGAGGGGCTTTGGGTCTGAGGGTTTCAGGATGTCGCCTGGTTGTTTAGAGCTTGTGGCCTCTACTTAGAGGCCCAGAGGACTTAGTAAGTAGGTGATAAGTAGCGTTCTAAGTACCCTAAATGGAGTTACCCCAGTTATAACCCTACTTATGAGCCTCCAAGTAGAGTTGCTAATATACACTTGAGGGCTCAGATGTTCGGCAGCAGAATGCCTGAGTGTGTTCTGCATATGATTGGTTGTTCTCTAAATGAGGGTCTATTTCCAGTTGTGGCCAACAACAAGAATGACCTTGTCACGGGACACACGGTGTAGTTCTGAACTTGTTGTTGGGGTTCCATGATAACGCAAATACACCACAAGCCGAAACCCCGAAGCATAAGTTCTGCACACGACGCGTCCAACGCAAGTCGCATGTTTCTGCGCTTTTTTGGCTTCATCTTTACTTCCCAGGGACGCTCCAAAGAAATCACACCTTCTCGAATCCACGTTCCCAGTTGATGCTCGCATTGCGCCCAAAGTGCGAAAGGACGACACCACAGGCAGACCCCTTGCGCGAACACAGGCATTTCGCCTGTGACACGCCACATCTTGTCGCTGGCTGGTCCCATGCCAACAACCGCATAACGACGAAGGACACGGATACATTGCTCCAAGGTGTGGGCACCGAGTGCGTGAAAAACTTCACTCTGGAAGCCCTGAACCCTTAGTTCAAGCATTCTTCAAAACCCTAGGCACTCTCGTCCCGAAAGCTCATAAATTTCCCCCAAAAACAACAGTCTTGGATTCCACCAGCATTGAGATCAAGACTGCCCCCACCCCAGCCAAAAATCCCTAACCACTCAAACCCCAAGTTGCTAAATTTTAAATTCGTGCAGCTTTCGATGCTAAACATACTATTATTGAGTGCCTTATACTCCTAATTAGCCTGAAACCCTAGAGCCTTCAATCCGAATTCTGAGTCCCCTGGCCACCCTAAACTGACTAATTGCATAAAACCCCTCAGCCCCCAAACACTAAACCCTAAACCCCTAAACCCTCAACCCCTAAACCCCTAAGCCCCTCAGCCCCTTAACCCTAAACCCCGAAACCCCGAAGACCCCTTCTGACCCCAGCCTGCGCTGTCTGTTTTGCATCCTCGGTGCTCTCGGAAGACTCCTCCGAGGATTACAAGTTTAGAGGTGTTCGGAGGTTATAGGGTTTAGGGTTCAGGGGCTTAGGGGTCGAGTCTAGGGGCGTTCGGAGTTTAGGGTGCAGGATTCAGGGGCTTAGGGTTTAGGGGTTTAGGGTTTGCGTTCTTAGCACATGATAGACCCCCCCGCCAGACGCGAAGTCTCCTCAGCACCGAGGCAGGTTTAGGGTGTAGGGATTTGGTGCTCTAGGATTTGCCTTAACCCGGAATAACCTACCTTTTTAACGATATATATATATATAAGGAATTCATAATAAGGAGCCCTAAAGAGGTAGGTTATTCAGGGTTAAGGCGGGGTTTAGGGTTCAGGGCTATGGTTTACCCGGAGCCCCCCCTTAATTAAGGAATATACGTTACAGGGAACTCCAGAAAGTTGGAATATGGTTTCATGGTAGGATACCCTATAATTTACCATAGAAGGGTTAGGATAATCATATTCCAACTTTCTGGCTTTTACTATATAGTAGGATGCCTGATATGATTTAAGGCATATTCCTTAACTAAGGTAACTAAGGGGTTTTGGAGGCTCTGGGTAGTCTAGGGTTTAGGCATTACCTACAGCAGAAGCCAGAAAGTTGGAACATCATTATCCTCATACCCTTAAGGTAAAGCATAAGGGATCCTAGCACTAATCCTCCTAAAGTCATGTTCCAACTTTCTGGCTTCTGCAATAGAGGCTCCATAGTCTATAATAGTAGTTCCTTTTTAAATTTGGTGATTACTTTTGAGGGGAACGCAGAAGGGGGCAACGGTCTGTCAGGCAAAGGTTGACCCTTCGACGAAGTTCGTTTTTTCAAAAACCCTTCGGCGAACTTCTGCGAACGTTTTGGGGGTTCGTGAGGGGTTCGTGGGTTGTTCGGTTACAAGATAAAGTTCTGATATGTTGTTAAAATTCCCAAGTATATTAAAAGCTTCAATAAGAATTTACGACACTACACCCCGGATAGTCTGTGAAGTTTATATGTCAGCGAGATGAAATGATGATGATTTGCCACGCCTTTTTCTCTGCATCTTGCAGGGATTTCCTGCGAATGTCTTTCCAAAAATACGGAGTTTCTTGCGTTACTCTGGCTCATTAGCAAAAATTCTTGCCAGGGCCCGACAGTCGTTCAGTGCAGGTCCAGGAAGTGCAGAATCCTGGCGGGCGGGAGTGTAAAATCACAAATGAGGTGCGTCAAAAGGCTTGTTGCTCTGGCAACCCGTTTTCTCTCTTGCGACTTCTGCGGCCAGTGACTAAGGCAGCGTTTTATCGCAAACGGCCCGGCAAGGCGGTTGATCGCCAAAACTTGCCAGGTTCAGCGGCCGAGGACTCGATTAAAATTTCTTGCCTTCAGAAACAGCGGCAGCGGAATTCGGCAGAGTCAGGCCGGGGCGCTCTTGAAATACTTCCCTGCTCTCTGACCTACAGTCTCGGAAGACTCAGAAGCAGGGGTAACCCGAGAACACAAAAGCATGTGACACCAACTTTCAGCGATGCATTTTTTATGTTAAAAATAATAATGCTTCTTCTGTGTTCTTGCCCCTGAAACAATCTCAGTCAAGCTTACTTTGGCGATCCTCGCCCTCCTGATGCTGGCGACTTGATCGAGCTGACGGGCGATCCGGCGAGGGTCTTCGGACTCTTGCTAGGCGACGACTTGGAATTGATCTTGCGCTTCGGCGTCCGCGGGGGAGTGTTCTTGCCGTTCCCAGCTGCCGGTTGAAGCGCAGTCTCCGATTTCGCCTGCCACGATTTCGTCTTCTTGCCATCACCAGAACCGGCTTCGGGGGAGGAACCCGTCGGGCACTCCTTCAGAAAGAACGGGCTCTCGGGCAAGGTCTTGCCCTCGTTGATGTCGGAATTCAGGATCTTGCACACCGAGATGTCCACCAACCCAGCACCTGACGGAATTGCTATGCAACGAACAACTGAGTTGGAAGAAGTGGTTTCAACATGTTCTGAATAGACGAGAGAACTAGAGAAGCGCGTGCTTAGATAACTTGATCTGAAAGATTCGCACATTGCAGCTGAGAAACTCAAGGATGTGTTGAAGTTTCTTGCGCACATGACCTTGATGTTGTCGATGTTCTGCATCTCCGGCGGAAGCTTAAACATCAAGTCGGTCTGCATGTACCGCAACTGACTCTTGCCGTCGTCCTGCTTCTCCAGCCTCCAGTAGCTGCAGGAGGGATCGTCACAGAACTCCTTGAGAACGCGGACTCTTGGGCTTGGGTGAATTTAAGGCCAACCGATCCGACAAACAAGGCAACGGTTAAACCGAATTCATTCAACTTGAATTTTCACTGACTTGGACTCACGACCCCAGCCGCATGTTGGGCCTAAGAGGCTGAGCAATGAACAGGCGGCGGAAAATCACGATGTTGCAGCAGGATGCCTTACTTAGGCGGGTTAAACGAGTAGGTCCTGGAAGGTCGTCTCTGGCCCCCGTGGCTCCCAGGTTTCTAGCCGGCTGCCGTAGTCTGTGAAGCGCTTCATCATGAAGTCCTCAAGCGCGACCATGCTCTTGCTCGGCAACGCGCTGTTGACGTCGCAGTGAGTGATGAACCTACGGCGAGTGAGGTGTTTTGCACTTTTCTTGCTTCGGCAGAGGCAAAGAAGATTTGAATGAAAGATTGTTTTACATGTACTACTGATTCACAGCCAAGCTACGCGAGCAGGGTCGCCAGGAAAGCACGCTCTATCTTGCATCTGAAGTTCTTCTGCTGTTTGTCCAAGAACGACATCACTTTGGGAATCATCTTGCAAAGCAGCGGTCGCGTTTGCTCTTGCCCAAGCAATCGGAACTTGTTCATGTAGGGCTTCAGCTTCTGCTCCGACGAGTCGTCGTCGCCCACGATCTTGCCGGAGTCCAGCGAATCAAAGCTTCCCATACCTTTATGCCACGTGCGCTCTAAAGACAATGAATCACAGTCAGTCATTTCACTCAAGTTCAACTGAATTTAAAGAACCTAGCTCGCTAAAGCTTCACAGTACTATTTTTCTTTCCCAAACATACCCAAAAAAACGAAGAACTAAAATTCTCAGCGACTGAAGCCCCGATGGATGTGTTCCAGTGCTTTCGGCCGTAGGGCAAACCACGCATCGAGCTCCTGCCTCATCGTGACCAGTCTGTTCTCTTGCGCTTCAAGATTCGCTTTCTGCTCTTTGCGCAAGGCTTCCTCCGCCTTGTCCTCAGTTCACGAATATTCGGACATGTGATTAGCTTGATTGATGGGATCATATGTTTAAAGTTAAGGGGGGTCGGAAGGTTGAAGTGTAGACGCCTTGCTTGCAGAAAAAACACTTTCAGCTTCTTCTCCTTCGAAAGCGCCTTCTCTTGCACTGCCTTGGTTTTTGACTGGATGCAGCTCTTCTTCGGGGCCATGGCTGCGCAAGCTCGGCCAGCAGGAAACAAAATTATCCTAGACTGAGATGCTTCAAGGCTTCTCTTACTTGCTATCGAGCCGGACATGTCACCGGCAGTGATGACGGCTGGGCCGGTGCAATTTCTCATCTCTCACAACCTCATCGCAAACAAACAGGCTTCCCTGCAGTGTCGTTTCTGAATCTGGCCGAAACAATCCAACAGGAGGCGGGCAGACCTTGCAAGCGACGTAGGTCTCTTGCAGGATAGACGGCACCTGTTAGTGTCTGACTGTGTCTGATTGGATTGGTTTGGCTTACTATACATCAGAATGTGGAAACCAAGGACAATCGCAAAAGCTGCGAGCATCGATCCAGCGCAGGTGAGTTAATCATTTCAACTATTGACTTGAACAAGCATCCGCACACCGTCTCTATGCTCGCAGATGCGTACAGGCGCAAGCGTGCATGTATGTTTACGTTTGCGTATGTGGGTGGGCGCTACTATACAACGTAATAGTTTATTAATAAATTGTGCGTGCATGCGGTTGTGACCGGTCGCACTCTGGGTTCGCGGCAGGAGGACTCTGGCCAGACCAGTGTAATCAGCAGGGCAGGAAACTCTCGCAGGAGTCTCCGCCTGCAAGCGTGGTGATATGCAAGACCCGGAAGCTTACTGTATTAAAAATTGTTATTATGAAATATGCATTCATTCGTTACTTCAAGACAGTCAGGAGTAGTAGTCGTCGTCGTAGTAGTAGCACTAGTTATTAAGTACTAGTAGTAATAATAATCGTCGTTTACTAGCTAGTTTAGGGTTTGCTTTTGTGCTGAATCTGGGCAGAGGAACTTACGGAAGGTCTGGCTACGAGGGTGCCACTCCTTTACTTCCAAAGACTCAGATTTGCAGATTTGAGCAAAGAAGGAGAATCTTAACTGAGTCTTACTGGCCTTGTTTCGGTTGCAACTTTCGAGTAAATTACATTTATTACATTATGCCTGCAATTATAATTATTGCTTGGATGCATCTTGCGGATCTTATGGGTCTTGCGAGTGGGCGACTTAGGGGGGAGTGCCCATACCCTAAACCCTAAACCCTAAACCGGAATTATTATTAAATTACTGAAACAGAGCTTCAAGATCAGTCCCAAAGACCCCGAAACCAAACTTGAAAGCCCGGGAAAGAAGCCCAGCCCCTGAACGAACTATTGTAAGTGCATTGTATTAATGATGTTTGCGCTCTTGCTTCTTACTTATGCTAATATTAATAGGGATTAGGGTTCAGGGGTGTAGGATAAGAGAGAGAGAGAGAGAGAGAGAGAGAGAGAGAGAGAGAGAGAGAGTGAGAGTGAGAGTGAGAGTGAGAGTGAGAGAGAGAGAGAGAGAGAGAGAGAGAGATCTCCGCCGGGTCGATGTCGATGTGGAGTCCGCCAGTCCCAGCCGAACACTCGGAATTGGTGTCGGCAGCTGCTAAGTAGACGAAGTCTCGCAGCCCGGCAGCCAGCAGATTACAAGGATCCACGAACGGATCCATGGAGGGCTTCTGCCAAGGGCATCCTCCAGCGAGACGCGAACCAGGTCCAATGTGAGGAGAAAGCCTTTTTGCCTGGGCGTCTTCTGGTA